TGTCTATTTTAGTTTATGGGGTCCTCCACTTGTGTCCACAAACACTTTCATCAAGTAGGAAGCTGACCTCATCAGAAGACTCTCTCCATGCTCCTTTGTTCTGACCTTGTCCCCAGACCTCCTCACTTGCCATCTTTCATGGCTGCCTAAGCCCTTCTTTAGCTCCTTCATGTTACTTACTCTGTTACTAAGTTATAGCTGCTTTGGCCATTAGAAGTTCTTTTAGGTTGGTCCCATGGTTATTCAACCACTACCTCCCTGCCTTTATTAGACATTTCCTTATTTTCTAACACCACAAGATAGTTTAGGCTCGTTTTATATCGTCCCTGTACAAGCTCTGGGATCAACCACTTCCCTGAGGAGTGCTGGAGACTTTAAAAAAATTTTTTTTTCAAAAAATGTTTTTTCATGGTAAAATATAAACAACATAAAGCTTACTATTTACCATCCTAACCATTTTAAAGTATACAGCTCGGTGGTATTATAAACATACATTCAGTTGTCATCATGGTCTATCTCCAATCTCCTTATGTCTTGCAAAACTGAAATTTTGTACCAACTAAACAATGATTCTCAATTTTCCCTTCCTTCCAGGATCTAGAAGCCATCATTTTACTTTCTGTCACTATGATTATAACTACTCTAAGTACTTCATATAAGTAGAATCATACCACATTTGTCTTCCTATGATTTTGCTTATTTTACTTAGCACAATATCATCAAGATTCATCTATGTTGAAGCATGTGTAAGAATTTCCTTCCTTTTTAAGGCAGGTAATATTCCACACTTTAGCTATTATGAGTAAAGTAGTTATGAACATGAGCTCACAAATATATCTTTGAGACCCTGTTTTCAATTCTTTCTATGTATATACATAGAAGTAGAATTGGTGAATTGTATGCCAATTCCAGGATTAACTTATTTAGGAACTGCCCTAGTGCTCTCCCAATGCCTTAAGAATGAGCCTAAAAGCAGAATGAATAGCAGTGTATATAGTTTGACCTCCCCCCTTTTATTTTCAGGAGAAAAAGCTCAGATATGGACCCCCAGATATCTAAGACCACAAGGAACACCCACATGATAACACCATTTACTTCTGCATGCAGGAATCAGTGAGCAATATTTGATTTTCTTTATGCTCGTTTGTAGTTTTATAAAAATTATAATTGTTACTCTTCTAAGAAGAAAAAAGTGAAAGAATAAGCATTGCTATCATCACAAAGGAAAGATGTGACATAGGAATGGCCCAAGGGAGTATTTGACCAAGAGCAAGGGAACAGTGGATACAGATGGACAGGAAAAGGAAGGAGAGGTCAGACAGCAGCCTTCCAGCCACAGGGCACTGGCTTCTCCCCTTGTAAGCCTGGGCCCAGTTCTGTGTTCAACAGTGAGCAAAGAGACAGCTGTGTAGGTAAAGGTCTTTCTTTACATTTCACCTGGGTTGTTGGCAGTAGCTGTACTTTGTCTCTCCCCCAAGCACAGAGAAGAAAACTGCTGAGTTACAAAAGGAAAAAAGTCTAAAATCCAAGGACCAGTAAGAAACAATCTATATATTTATTCCTTTTACATATGTGGGTTTCACAACTCACATTCCAATCTAGAAGTGACAAAAGACAGTGTTTCTTGGGAGTGCGATGGAGGTCCAATTTAGGAAATTGTTTCTCTGAGGGCATTCACAAAAGTATCATCTTCCTTCATACTATTCTGGGAAATAACATAGCATAGGAGAGGGTGTCTCCATGGGATCTTTCAGCAGGTCATTGTTTTCAAGGCAGGCTCCAAAAGCTTCCATGCTATGCTACCATGCTATGGGTTAAATTGTGTTCCCGGCCCCTGGCCCCAAATTCATATGTTGAACTCCTGATCCCCATATGGTAGTATTTGGAGATGGGGTCTTGGGAGATAATTACATTTATATGAGTTCATGAGGATGGGTCACCATGATGGGATTATTGCCCTTATAATGAGAGTCACTTTGGTCTCTCTCTGTCAGGAGAGGATACCACGGGAAGGCTGTATACCAGGCGCCAATCAAGACTCAGACTTCCAACCACCAGAACAGTGAAAAAATAAATGTCTGTTGTTTAAGCCAGCCTATCTATGTATTTTTTATGGCAGACTAAGACAATTTTCTTCTGACTCCAGGACCTATTGTCTGTATAATTTCTTTTTTTACAGGGTCATAATCTGACCTATGTTCTTACATGTTTTAGGGATTGATCAAGATTCTCTGTTACATTACTAATTTGAAGTCAAGGGCCATGTTTTTAGATTCTTCTATTTCTCTCACTGGCCAGCAAAATGTTATACATTCATCACAAAGTTAAAAAATATATATATTTATCCAGTAGCTACCAAGTGTGTTGACAATCCCTCAGGAACAGAGAGATGACAAATGTACAGTCCCAGAGCTGATGACATTCACAGAAAAGTAGCAGAGCAGACACGACAGGTACATCCCTGGGCAGACCTAACAAGAAGAATAAGCACAATTGGAATGGCATAGGATGTGCACATCACAGAGGAAGCAACAACGCCTGTGCCTGGGAAAGACAGATACTCCGAGGAGACTTCCCAGGTAAGGCAGCATTTGAGCAGGAATTTGAAAGAAAATAAGAGATCCACAAACAGGGAGAAAACTTCCACTGTAGACAGCGGGGACAATGTGATGATGAATATGTTAGGAAAAAACTGAGTGGTCTGGCTTGGTGTGTGTCTGTGTGGGTCAGGGTGGCGGGAGCATTCCAATTGTGGAGATACAGCATCAGACAAGTAGGATGCAGGCAAATCAGAAAGAGTCTGATTCCTGAGTGAGAACTCCCCTTTGAGTTTCTACTTAGTACTTTAGGTCTTGGATTGCTTCTGGGGATTTTAAAGCAGGGAGGCAAATGATGTAATCTGTATTTTGGGAAACTATCTCTAGACAAAGAAAATAGCGTCTGAAGTGGAGAATACGGATTCAGGAAGAGTGAGGAAACTTGTTAACAGTGCAGCCAAGAGATAACAATGGACGAACGAGAAAGGAGCAGAGAGAAGGGAAAGGTTGGCAGCATTGTAGAACTAGTTGGGTTTGGAACGTACGTTTGTAATTCAAACAGTTTAGCCCTATTATATGATTTTTCTGTAATGTGTTTGGTAACCCCGACCAAGAAGGCAACAAAACAACCAACAGATGGGAGGTTTATTCTGAGTGCTAGATGAGAAGGGTAGGTGCTACTGAAAGCCACAGGGTCTCTGGAACTGAGAACATTGGTGTGTATGTGAGTGATTTTGCACAGGATCCAGATGGAAAGGCAGGAAGAATCTGAGCATACAGCAAGGACTCCTATGAACAGATGTCCAAGGAAGCTAAAGAACTGGTTGAGTAGGAAAAGAAAGCAGGAAAAAAAAAGGTTTCATAATTCAGGATTTCAAATACTGAGGAGTTTTAAATGTGACAAGGCGCAGGGTACAGCTGCATACGTTGAAACTCTTTCATTAATGTAAAAACGAGGTGAAAGTTTCCAGAGGAAAGTATTTTAAGGTACTGAGAGACTCAGTTGTTAAATAGGTCATCAAAAAGGACACTGAAGCCACCCAGGATAATGGCACGGGCTAAAGAGATGAGGCACACTGCAGGAAAGTGCCGCAGCCCTACGAGAGTGTGCGAGCAGCTTTGGAGGCATACAGATGAAGTTCCGAATCACTAAAGGAATTCTAATTTAAACTGTTTCAGAAGTGCAGTGAGCTCTGCAGAACAATGGTATAAAAGCATAAGGGGGAAACCAGAAAAAAATGCATGTTCTTCCTCCCAATCCTGTCTAGTCCCTGGTGCCAAGCCTGGGACCAGGCAGGGAAAGCCAAGAATCCAGAATCTCCCCTTCTGTGCACTTTGCTGTGACCCCTTTACCCCCTGTCAGCACACTCCCCACACACTCGCCATCTTGATGTGTCCCTATGAAGCCTGGCTGCCCCTCCTTAGGATATAGTGTTTTTGAGCACTGGAACTCTTCAGGTGCCATCCCTTGCTGCTCCAAACAATCCTTTCCCTCCCTCCTCTAAAACTCCTGATCCTTAGTTTATGGCCTTCGATGCTAGACCCTCTTCCCTTCTTTATTACTGTCGATAATCTATCTCTTGGTCACTTCCTCAGGTTTACTATTTTTCCCTTGGCTTCCCATATTATTCTCCATGATTCCTTTTCTCATTCTTGTTGAAGTCAACCTGCCTTAGACAAAAGATCCAACATCTAAGTTTTTTAGTTCCTTGAACTCCTTACCTCCACTCCCCTGCTCACACTCTGGATCTTAATTATATTCATTGAATTTTTTTTTTCAGATAGTGCTCAAGCATAATTCAGCTCACTACTCAGGATCTCTGCTTTCACAAGTCTCTGAATTCCATACATTAGAACATGAATTCCTTAGGAGCAGAAACTACTGAGAGGTATAGCTTCAGCATAGTGGCTAATATGTTAGTTTCTCAGTTTTTAAAAAATATATATTTATTTATTTTACAGTACAATGCATTTTGACATACATTACACAAATGGAGCACAGCTTCTCATTCCTCTGGTTGTACCTCATTCAGAGTCACTCCACTAGTGTAATGTATATAGGGTAATAATGTATGTCTCTTTCTCAAAAAAAATTTAAAGAATAAAATATTAATTTTTAATCTTGTGGTTTCTGAGAAATATGTGCGCCAGGTTTCAGACAAAATGAGAATATAGACTGAGTGTCAAGGAGGAAGAGGAAGAGGAAGAAGAGACTATTGAAAATAGTAAACTAAAATTAATGAGCACTTACAAGGTATTGGGTGCTACCTCTTGACAAATGACAGAGAATTAGGCAAGAGCAACGTATGATCTAAAATGAGGTCAGCAAAGGGGAAGAAAATGAGCCATACTGGGGATGCCTTCACTCAGGAAGATTACACCTTAGATTGTGGCAATAATCACAGAATGCTTGGAGAGAAAGGTAGGAAACTGGTGAATGAGCAAGAAAATGACATGACTGACCAGCTTCAGAATTATATCTGGAATGATTACAGTTTCCTTCGAAGTGTCGGGAAGGAAACTGGCTGGGATGAGCAGTGGTATGCTCATGTTCAGATGCACTGACCTTAGGGTCAAAGAGGTTCACCTGGTAAAGCATACAAATGGCAAAGGGAATGGGTAGAGCAAAAGGAAGAACTTTGAAACCCATCTCAGAGTGGCTGCCACCCAGGGCATAATGGAAAGTCTTACTATTGCTCAGAAATTCAGTGTTTACAACCAAAATTTTAGAATTAAATTTGCATGTTTCTAGAAAAGCCCACCTCTTTAAAATATCAGCAAATTGATGAGCAATATTTTGTTTTCCTTTTTTTATGTTAACAATATTTTATCAAGTTACAGTCTTCAAATACTTGTGTGTACAGGTATTTAGTATGCAGCTGCAGAATTGCTTACATATGTATCCACCCTGTAATTCTACCCAGCTCAAGAGGACAAAGCAATATATATGCCTCCATCAGCTTCAGGTTGAAAAATAGAAAATCCATGTGCTAGGTAATGCCTATGATCAGAGCTGCCCTCTACCCTCAGTCCAAGGGGGTCAAGGTAATTTTGATGTGGTTGAGTTAATGACTAGAGTGGAAAAGCCATTTCCACTGAAGTTTTCTTTACAATGTCAAAATACCCAAGAGATATGTATCACTTCATTCTTTACTAAAAGAAATTCCAGTCATGATAGTTTTATATTTAGAGGAAAATAGGGGGAAAAAAGAAAAAGAAACTTATGCTTTGGAGAGTGACTTGTGACCCTGCTTCTCTGAGAGGGATTTTTCCCAGTTAGTCTGTTCCTGGAAGCCACTAATAACCCCAATTCTCCTAGTTTGCTTTACCCCTGTGCCCTTCAGGGAGAGGCATGTATGATTCTGTCAGGTGTGAAATCAAAGAAACCTCAAAAAAAAAATCTGCTCATACACTGCTTTCACTGTTGAGCATCTCACCCTAGTGGGATGGTCTGTGGTTTCCATGGCAATGATATCTGGCAACAATGATGGGCAGCCTTCCAGGAACTGGGGTTGGAAGCTATGGGGCTAAAATACATCTGTCAGAGGTAATGAAGAGTTCTCTGTGTAAACATTTCTGTCTGACTGCTCTGCTCAGCCACCTGCACAGGTCCAAAAGGTAATGGCATGATGCAGGAGTAAGCATCTGGGGATGGGGTGTCACCCTGAGACTATCATATCACATGTCACACAGTCTCTATTGCTTGTATCATGATGGGGCCAAGATTCCATCCAAATGAATGGCACATTTATCCAGATACTAAATTAAACTGATGCCAAGTCTGACCTCTAAAAGTCTTTGCCAAAGATTTATTATTCTCAGATTCAGAATAAAAAGTTAAATTCCTTATATATTCACTCCATGCCATTTCTAATAAGTTCTTTTTCCTGAATTTTCTATTTCTGTTCATGCTATTACCATTTTCCTAAGCACCCAAGCCTTCAAGATGAGCTTTTGACCATTTCTTTGAATCAAGTCAAAAAATTCTATCAGCTTTTCCTGTCCATTTTTTCTTATGTCTATCTTTTTATATCTTTTCATTTATTCATACATCCCTTTATTCGAAACATATATGTAAGCCCCTACTATAGTCTAAGGATACAACAAAGAACAAAATAGGAAAAATGTTCACTATGTGGGGAGGGGATTAGAGCACACAGTGTGGGGACAGTGATTCTCTAGGGTGACAACTCAGAGCATATTTCTGCCCACTTAGGCTAGGAATTATTCCAGTTATAAAGATCACATAACACTATGATAGACTGCTGATCTCTCTGGAAGGATGATTAGTTATCCACCATCAATGACCTCTGTAGATCTAACTATTCTGATTATCAATACATCCCTATTCCTATTAACGGTTTCTGCTCTGATGATGCCTTGTTTCTGGCAATTAAGTGCTGGTTATTGACCTCCACCACAGAAAGATCCTTCAACTCCATCATAATGATGACATCTCCTGCCATCATCTCAGTCTGGGGAGCAGCTCCTACCGAGTAGTTCAAGGATACACAGCTGTTCCACTAGTTTATGTTCCAATGCTTCTATGAAATGAGAGGATAATGGGATCATCAATGGATATCTGTGAAGGTGGCCTCTTTGCCCAGCCATATCAGAGTTCATAGTGACAGGGAGGCTATGGAGGAGCTTAGGATCATGGAAGTACACTCTCTAGTTGGCATTTGCTACCGTTGTATGTCAAACCTAATAATAACAACGGCCTAAAGTGAGCCATTATTGTATTATCATTTGTCAGGGAAACCAGAGAGTCACTGGTAACAGGTTACTTATATTGGGACTCTTCATCATAAGGGGCAATCACTTGTGTTCATTATAGTAAGGACTTCTCTCCCCTTCTGGAATTTCTGCCCTTACCACTATTCTTGGACTTATATTATGCCTTATTCACCATTATCATATTCCATATAATATTGCTTCTAACCAAGGAACTATTTCCATGTCAAAAGAAGCATTATCTTACCATGAACCACACATCCCAGAAGCAACTGCTCTGATCAAATGGTGGAAGAGCCAAATAAAAGCCAGTTGAGAAAGAGAATTCTGAAAGGCTAAATTATATTCTATGGAATGAATTACATGCTTTGAACCAAAGACCCATACATGGTATAGTTTATCTCATAGCCAGAATCAAGGGATAGAATTTGGGAATGCACTGTCCTCTAATTAAACCTAATAATCAACTGAGATAAAATTTTGTTGTACATATCTACAATTTGGGTCCCTGCTGATTTAGGAATCTTGGGACCCAAAACAACGTATTCCACTCAGGCTTATCTGAATATTAGGGGTTCCTCATGTTACTGATCCATAAGACTAAAAGACAGTTTTATTTACTGACTAAAAATTTAAATTCTGCTAATCACAGAGGCAGGAATGATCTATGAAGCCTGTATTCTTATATGGGTATTTCTTTCTACTTCCACATGCAAAATGTATGCAAAATGTTCCCAATAAATGCAAGACATTTGGGAACTCAGTCCCTTTCAAGAATGAAGGCTTGCATCATTCTACCTAGGGAGGAATCTTCACCAGCTAAGTTACTAGCTTAAGATGAAGGCTACATTAAATAGACAGTGGGAGAGGCAAGTTGCAGATATCAATGATGGCCGCACAATCAATTGCAAAAACCTGACTGCTTTCACTGTCTCTGCTCATGAAGTACACATTGCTAATGTTTCTCCCTGCTCCTCGTTCCTTTATTATTCAAGTTAAGTACCTCTGTTGGTGGTTAATAGTTTAGTATTTGAGTTATACAATATTCAGAGAGATACAGATATGATTACTACAGGAAATCTCCTCCTTAGGGGAGAAGGCAATACAGTCAACATTTATTTGAAAGACAATTGCATATTAGGCAGAAGCACAAAGCTCTTATGGTTGGTTAGAAGGTTGTTTACACTGTTTAGCCAAGAAGATGGACTGTACCAGTTTTTACCTCTTGTGTCTGAGCTCCAGGTCCTTCTCTGTTCTAATGCTGCACACTCATTCCCTAAACCTGCTTGCCAGCTGGCAATCTATCAGGTTCTGCTAATGGGAGGAACCAGAGGGACTGGAAGATGGGAAGAGTAGAGAAAGGATGATCCTCCTGTTTCAGTTCATTTTTTTAATGCTTCAGCAGATGCAGAATCTTGGCTCTGCCTCCAGCTTCCTCAATACTCATAGTGCCAGCCTTCCCATGCCCCTTCAGTGGTACCTGCCATAGTGAAGCTGGTCATCCTTTGCAGTTCTGCATTCAACATGCTATGCTTTCTCGCCCACTGAGCCAGGCCCCTCAATGGTCTGCATCCACCAGACCATGCCCTCTCCTCCAAAGTTTAAGCACCTGTTAGGCCACACCCCTCCTTCTAGGTCCAGAACTCATCTGACTGTGCCCCCTCTTCAGAATTCTGAACAATAATGAAGGGTCTCCAGGTTTGGATAACCCACCTCTTCCTTTTCATTTCCTGGTTATAGATTAGTTATTGATTCCTGCCGTTACAAATAACAAAGCCACCTTAGCACCCCTTCCAATGTTGTGCAATTAAGTACCTCTGTAAAATCCCCTTTACTTTAATGTCTACTTTGTTGGGAGGTTGTTTTGTTGTTTTGTTGTTGTTGTTGTTGGGGTTTGTGTTTGGTTTTGTTTGGCTTTTTCTCTGAATGAACCCTGATTGATACAGAGGAGAGCAGATTTGGAAAGAAAACTGATGAATACCACCATCCAATGCATTGTCACTCCATTCATTCAGCCATTTATTCTTCCACTCATTCAACATGTATTGAATACTTACTAGACACTTGCCCAGGCTTTTGTGCTATAAAGTCCCCAGGAAAGACATGGCTTCTCCCAGTCAGCAAACAACTTAGAATCTAGGAGAGGGAAAAAAAAGCAATGAGACCTGCAGAAGCAAGAGACCATAGTGGTGGTAAGGGATTCACTGACTTCAGTCAATGATGGAGGAAAGGTTGGGAACAGCTATGAGAATCAGTGACATCTGAACAGAAACACAAAGTGTGAGCAGGAAGTTAACAAGGTACAAAAAGGAAGCTGAGAAAGAGGAGTCCTGGGTAGAGGGAATGCAAGGGAAAAAGCATTTAGGAAAATGTGGCTAGCTTAGTCTTCCAATATGGATAGAGCTATGGTTTCAGAGAGGGGAAGGTGGATGGGGAGATGATGGTGAGGAAGATAAAGAGGCCAGGCTGGCTGAGAAAACTGAGGCTGATGTGCAGCAGTGGGGTGAGCCTGAGGACCCTGAAGACCGTTAAAGTTCCCTCTTCTGTTCCCTCTTGTGTTTCATTCTGTGTTGGGCACAAATTGGTCTTCTGATCCATGGAAAAGGAATGGAGTGTGGTGAGAATCCCTTACTCAGCTCTGCAACCTCAATCCAAAAGCCCCAATCACAGCTCTTCCCAAGTCAATTGGCTCACCTACAGGGTGCCTGGTTTCCTCTCAGATTGGGCTCCTACCTCCCAATTTCCTTCTAGATCTCTCTCTTCTGTCTTTCCTGGGCTTTCCCTCTGGGTCTTTCTTCCTAATGCAGAGTAACTTCTCTCTCTCTCTCTCTCTCTCTCTCTCTCTCTCTCTCT